TTCTGAAAGGTAAGATGTTTGTTAAACATTATTTTGTAATTAATGATTTCTCAGACATTGTTTTCTTCAATAAAAGATTTATACCCCACATGGAGTTTTCTCTCTATTAGAGCTCTCTCTTCCTGATACTTTAATTTGGAATTTCTAAAGACTGGCTATGAATGGGTGTTGGATGTGAATATCTTCTGGAACTGCACATTCAGATTTAGTAAGCAAGAACATCAGTATTTATCCTGACAAACTCTGATTTTCTTTTGGAAGCTGAACTCATATACAGTTGTACAGTTGTATGTACAACCAAACAGCCTGGATGGCCCTTTGATTGGGACTGTGCACATTGTTGTAACTTGCAATGTTCCGGTTTCTTGTTTAAAGCAAATTGCATTTGCTCTCGAAAGTAAGCCGCCAAGGTCATAACAGTTATATAAGTTTGCTTTGCATCTCAGGGCAGAGCTTGCCACTGTGAAAGTTGGGGAACCAACCCCTAGCATTTGATTCACTACTGACACTCATTAAACAACTAACAATGAAGTACACTGTATATCAAAGAAAGGAATGTCATCTGTTGGTGTGCAAAGATTGTAATAAATTATAATTGACATGTTTTTGTATGAATAACAGTGGTGTTCAAGTAGCAGCTACAGTACGATTACATGCCTGTTCCTGCCAGTCAATATATGAACAGTTTACATATGGGCAGCCTGTACTGAAACATCAAAGATTTTCAAAGCAACCATGGCCTGGTGAGATATTTCTGAGGAAATATAAATTTAAGCTCCTTATGATTGCTTATAGGAATTGTTTTTTATTGTAAGCAATATCTTACTGGGTGTATTTTTCTTGTGTACTAATTGTTGTAGAATGCAGAGATCACTTTTATCACAGAGATATTAATGTGTGAAAAGTTCTATAAACAAATGCATCCGGGAACAAATTAATTTATAATGGATGCAGCTTCTGAGAGATCCCCAATATTAATGGAACATACACTGTACATACATGTAAAAGAGTTCAGTAATTTATTACTTAAGATTGTAATGATTTGTTTGGTTTCTCTGTATTTACAGACAACTTGATGGGATTATAATTTCTGCACCAAGTTCATTGAATAAACTAACTTGGAAGTTGAGTTCTGCAACCCATCCTGTGTGTAGTAATATCATAGCTGCAACATTGTGACAGATACACTGTATTACATTATCAAGAAACACATATATTAACTAATTATTTAAAGTGCCTGTTAAATAATCAGTTTTTCTTAGAGATAATTTACTCATGGTTTATTTAAATAATTGCTTTTTTGGCTTTAAAATGATATTTATTGTGCTTTTCAATCAATTTTGTGATAATCTGCATTGGACATGGCATAAATTAATATGTTGCCAACACGAAATGGAGAACTGGGTCTTAAGCAAAGTTGCAGGATTAATATTTTTGTAGAAAGAAAGGGTTGAGAAATTTGAGGCATTCTGCAGACAGCCTTGCCATTCCCAATGTCCAACAAGGTTAATTTGTTCCCTACTGTTGTACAAATAGTGTTCTCTAATTTATAAATTATTTCAATCTTTTGTTTAAATGATTGCCTTATAACCCCATGTCCGGCTTTGGTGCGTATAGGATATTGATGTATTGTTTATCCATTTTGCTGTAAATTATCTTAATTGACGTGTCAATCAAAACATATCTTGGATATGCTGGGCTCTTCTGACAAATGTACCTATGCCTGATAACCTTTGAGTGCATTTGGTTGTGTAGTGCAGACGAAATACATGTACATAATAGAACTTACTCTTAGCTTACTTATAAGTCTTGGTATAATTTAATCATAGCAAAATTAATTAATGGAACCTAATAACAGCTCCTGTAGTCCACAATCTCAGTTGAGAAAAAGAACAAATCACATTGAAATTGAATAATAAAATTATTATTAGAGGCCTATGGAAGTATTCATGATCAACAAAAAAATATCATAATTACCGTTCATGCAAGAGTGATTTTGCTTATTGCAAACCCTTCCAGCAGGAGGAGACTCCATACAATAGTGAAGATGGCTAAATGTATCTTTGGGACAAGTTACAAAACAAAACTTTCCAACTACTTTCCAAAACTTTTCAAATACTCATAGTATACTATGTATACTGTTTTGGTCTTTTTGCGAGATTTCATTTGGTAGAGATTTTGAGACTGAGTATATTGTAACCATTGCATTTCAATCAGTCACCACAACAAAAAAATGTGTAAACTTCTTTTGTGTGGGAGTCCCCATGTTAACTAAAAAAGAATATAATGATTAATAACAATGCCTTGTCTTTCTGAATAAGGTAGGAAAGAACAAGAAATGCCACCAAAAGGCACAGAAGACAGTTCTGTTATGTGATCAAGATTTTTGGTGGCTCACCTGAAATCCTTGAAATCATTGCTCTATTTTCGTCAAACCATCTTACACCTCGATTTGCTAATGTAATCCTAGTGCGGGCTGAAACTATAAAATCGTTCTCAATTTACTTTGCATACACATGTGGATTATTGTCATTAGTAACAACATTCCAAACAATAACTGAGGAGCTCTGATTTTAGGCTTGGCTGAATCTATATATTATTAAAGATCATTGAAGACTGAAGTACAAAAGAAACATGTAGCTTTCTAAGCTGTATTGAAGGGAAACCAATTGCAATTCCAAATGTTTTTCTCTTATGAAAAAAGTACTGATTTTCACGTATTCTCTGTCCTGCCCCCATAATAGTTGAAGTCAACGTACTATGAACTGCTGTCAGACCCTCTTAGAAGTGGGTCTGCGGCTGACCTGTTCATAAACTGTTTCTGCTCGTCTACCTTTGTGGCAGAACCTCATCATGTCACAGGTATTGCGAGAAGTATTACCCATTTCTTATCTACTATTGAAAAATAGAGTACGCCTGTCACCAGTACATCTGGATTCAATAATGAAATTGTAATAATACAGGTTTGCTAGGAAAATCAGGAGGATCTGCCTAGTCATCACTCGTGTACAAACTATCTTCTGTTGTTCTGTTCTGATGTTTTCCCAGTAACTCACTATCCCTACAAAATGAAAAAAGAAAAAAGAATTGTTAATGTGGAAGTGGTGCCAATTGAAGCTAATTGAAAAGCTGTCGTTGAGGGGCCAAGTGTAAGCCTCAGTGAAGATGGAGCAAAAGCAAGATCTAAACAAGCACTAAAGCTTAACACTTGAGCACAACGCAAACAGACAAACAAAATATGTGAGGAAAACCACTTATACTACTTACATTTCATTCCCCTCCATCAACATAGGGGGTGGCTTCTCTGAAACACAAAAAGGCGCACCCATGGTCTCGTTAGATTCAGCAGTAGAGTTTAGACTGTCTTCAGGCGATCCGCCAAAACCTTGAAAACAAGCACCCTCATCTTGAAAGGTCAATAAAGGTTGCAGGTTGGTGTTGTCAGGCATGGAAAGAGTAAAATACTCAGGGGTCAAGCTCAATGACCCCATCCAGTCGTACACCATCCCTACTTCACCTTTCCTTTCATATCTGCGCATTTGAACACCGACTATAGGATGTCTTATGGAAACTGAAGTGTGGCTTGTTCACTTCTGGCTCCTTAGACACTCTGCTGGTTCTTGCTTTGCCTAGATGTTCCTGCCATGCAGCTCTTTCCTGGCAACGGAAGAGCTCCTCTTGCTTGTCGCTTTCTTTTGCTTGGTCTGCAGCCAACGAGTCGAGATACTCTTTTTCCTGAAGTGCTTTCAGGACTCTTTCTGAACTGCCCACCAAGCTTGAAGATGTGGCTGTAATGTTACGCTATTTGAGAGCGCAAACAAGAGGTAATAAAGACGACGAACAGTCTTTATAAGAACAACAACTCCATGTTTAATTCAACA